TCATCAATCGAAAACACCAGTTACAAAAAAGCATCAAATAAGGTTAAACTACCAAAAGGATTAACTACAACCAGTAATGAAAATTCAAACAGCAAATTCGTATTGCTCCAATATTAGCCCTTAACAGTATCAGAATTCCTAAATATACTATTTTTCTGTCGGAAACATCACTTTTCCCTCACCTGATCAAGTCCCTTTCTTGGCCACAATCCAAGAAAAAAATTGTGACAATCAAACGCAAAGTGCGTTTATGAATATAGATATTTGTTTACGACTAGGCCCCAGAATTAACAAATGTTTTATGATGCGGAAGGGAATATTTTCAGCAGAGGAAAGTACTTAATTTAAAGCATCTTGAGATGGGCCTAAATTTCAGGGACATGTCGGGCTCCTTCACAGATGTCTGGGTCGGTTCTTCAATCACAGATTCTATGTCAATTCCAAAGTTTTATTCTTAATAGTCTGGGTCTAAGACCAGTATTAAGTAAGCATCATGCTGTTTTCTTTCAATTCCGTTAACAAATTCTTAACTAATTTTCTTATCAAAACTAATTTCAAACCATGAACAATACCATAAAGTTTAAATAAAGATTCTGACAAATATTCTGTCCAGCAGACATGGATCTATGCAACACTTGTGCATCTAGACTACAAGAATTGTTTATCTCTACTTTCAGCGTAATTGGTATTGGAATGGGCTCTATCTCAGAATGAGGTAAAAATGACGTTATAGGGCGTAGCTAGAGTATGTCATTCAATGATCAATGAATCTGCAACGAAATGAAAGAGCTCGTTTGTAAGTGCAAGTTTACAAACTTTATCTATACAAGTGCTAATAAATATCTCATATAACTAAACTATGTATAATTATTCTTAATCAATTCACATCTAATTTCAAATCAAAGATAACTGAATAACCACGACGAATACACCTTCTTTGAACTGCAATTCTTGCAGGGAGTCTTACGTCTCATAAAAGTGTCTGAGAAGATTTTTGCTACCGTATTTACTCGTTTATAAGCCGCTCTTGATTATAAGCCAAAAAATAGTTTTCAGCCGCGGCTTATATTCGAATAAATGCGGTGAATGAAATACATTGGATAATGGAACATATGATGTACAAGATAAATAAACGTCGGTCAAATAGCTTGACTCCACAGCAGTTTCAAAAAAGGTCCCAAAACACAGAGTACAATCTATACACGATATTAGATACACAAAATACGCCAAATTACGAAAAAGATCTGTTCTTTAAAGGTGCACAAGAAAATAGCAGGTAGTTTTCCATACACAGAATTTCCAAATCTGTCCTTTGGAAAATCTTAATTAACTAGATGCAATTTTTAAAAGAAAG